GAGAATATGACCAAGGAAGTCAGGACCACGAGGGGATTATCCACCCACTGAGACAGTGTGCCTGATCTAATGGGAGCTCACCAAAGCCAGGTGGAACGGGACTGAATGAGCATGAGATCAAATTAAAGCCTCTGAATGTGGCTGACAATTGGGGCAGACTGAGAAGCCAATCATAATGGCACTGGGATTTGTCTCTACTGCATGTACTGGCTTTTTGGGACCCTAGACTATTTGGATGCACACCTTCCTAGGCCTGGATGGAGGGGGAAGGGCCTTGGACTTCCTACAGGGCAGGGTACCCTGCCCTCTCTTAGGACTGGAGGGGGAGGGGAGGAAGGTGAGTGGGGGAGTGAGAGGGAAGTGGGTGGAGGGGAGGAAGTGGAAATTTTGATGCCTAGTATTAATAAAGTAATAAAAAAGGAAATGTTGCAAATAAGACTTTATACCCTGATATTTACCAGACCCAAAGTCTATACATCTCAGTGAACTTCTATACAATGAGGACAACCTAAGTTTGGAAATCGAGTAGACTGATTTCTCTCACATTATTCTTGATTTTTAAAATTACATTAGCTATTCTAGCTACTTTTCTGTTCTACATGAGTTTTAGAATAGTCTTTCCTATAGCTATAGAAATATTTCTTGGGTTTGGATATTGTGTTGCATCTGTACATTAATTTTGGGGAAAATTAATATTTTTGCTATGTCAAGTCTTCTGCTCTGTGAGCACGGCAGTCTTTATATAACCTGATTTAGGCCTTTGATTTCTTTTATCAGCACTGTATATTTCAGCACATAAGTCCTGCACATGTCTTGTTAGGTATGTCACTTCCTCTCCTCTGAGTGATTGCAAGTGGCATTGGATTGGAGCTTGTAGCATCTTGGCACTAGCATCCAGAAGCATGCCTGATTTTTGCACGCTTATCTTACTCCTCAGTCTTGCCAAATTCACTCATAGTTAAGGTTTTGGTTTTATTTTTATGTTCCTTAGAATTAATTATATATGTTGTACATATATAATTATGACATCTGAAAATATTGATACTTTTGTTTATTCCTGCACAGTCTGCATACTTCTAGGGTGCATATGCATGCATGTATGATATGAATGCAGGGTATTTGCACACATGTATGTATATTCATGTGTGTGTGTGTGTGTGTGTGTGTGTGTGTGTGTGTATGAGTACATGTGAAGGCCCGAGGTTTACATTGAGTTCTCCACGTGACATCCTGGGGCAAGGTCTCTTGCTGAACCCAGAGTTCTGTTCTGGCTTGGTTGGCTAGCTCTCTTGCCTTTGGGACATCCTGTTTCCACCCGTGAGTGCTGGCGTCGAGGGATCTGAGCTTCTGCCCTCATGCTAGTGCTAGAAGTCCTTTTCTCGCTGAGCAGTCTCCCCAGCCTTAGTTGGCATACTTTTAATTTCTTTTGTTGTATTTAATTTTTTTAATTTTATTTTTTATGTGTATGAGTCTTTGCCTGCATGTATGTCTGTGCACCATGTCTGTGCCTGGTACTTTGAAGGCCAATAAAAGTCATCGGATTACCTGGAACTAGAGTTACCCATGATTGTGAGCTGCCATGTGGATGCTGGGGATTGAAACTGGGTCCTCTGGAAGAGCACCCTGAGCTCTTAGCCACTGAAGTCATCTCTCCAAGCTCAATTCATATATATATATATATATATATATATATATATATATATATATCACACACACACACACACACACACACACACACACACACACACCTTTGCACTATGACACTGGCTATAGCTTTTAGTACCCAGGAGGAATAAGAGTGCAAAGATTAGATGCGCTAGTCTTTTCTGTTTTATGGAGGAAATACATGCCATTTTCTCCATGCGTACGTTAGCTACAGTATTAGTTGTAGACTTTGTGTAGACATTTTGATCGAGGTTAAGTAGTTCTCCCTAATCCTATTTTTCCTCAGAGTTTTGATCATGAATGGGTCATTGAATCTTTTGACATCGATCACTTACCATACTATTTTTCTTCTTTGCTTTGTTAATATAGAGGGTTGGTTTTTAGATATTTGATGCATTTCATGGTGAAATATTACAAATTCTGTTTGCTAATATTTTACCGAGGAAGTTGTGTCTATATTCATGAAGGACACTGGTCTGTGGTCATGGTTCTCCCCTCCCCTGGAGTCTGTGTTTATCTTTGATTTTAGTATCGTGGTAGTACTAGCTTCATAGAGTGAGCGTGGCTGTGTTTCTCCCTTGGCTGTTTTCTGGGAGAGATCGCACAGAACTGGTGCGACTTTGAACATTTGGTGGATTCTTCAGTGAGGCCATCTGGGTCTGGAGATTGTTTTTGGAAGGTTTAAAATTATGAATTGGAGTCCTTAATGGGGCTCCCCAAATGATCTACTTCTTATTTGGGAAGACGGAAGTAGTTGCAGTTTTCAGGGAGTTGACCCATTTTATCCAGCTCCATACAACATCTCCATAGACACCGCCTGGCTGGAAGGAGTAATCTTTCCCTGCCACCCCAGGTGAGAGGGGCTTACTACTGCTCCCCACTTGTTGACAGTATCTAAGGCTGGGGTGGGAAGCTTATAGCCAGGTGGGATGGAGGTCAAGTCTCCCAGCTTGGCCATAGCTTGGTGGCAAGGGGTCGGTCTATAGTCTTTCTCTCAGTTTATCAATTGTTGATAAATGGCTTTCTGTCTTTCTGGGCTGCACATTTAGTGGTCCTTTGCATGGAAAATGCCCACCCCCGAAGGCTTTTGGAAGTGACTGAAATAAGAGGGCTCTGGCTTTTTAAATGGATTAATCTGTTGATAGACTCATAACTTGACAGCATTATTGGACTAGAGACTTAAAAGGTAGGGTTTATCACACCTTTGAAAAGTGCTCTTTCCCTGGTCCCTTCCTTCAGTCTGTCTTTCTTCTACCCCGCTGCCACACATTGAGCAACTTCGTTCTTTCCTGTCCTTCTGTCAGGATGCTCTGCTCACCGCGACGCAGCAACAGGAGCTAGCTGACCAAACCCTGAAACCACAGCCAAAACAAACTCACATTGTTTCCCTCAGATGTTTTGTCGTAGCAGCAGAAAGCCTTAACTAGCCCAAAAGGAAGCCCTTTTGTGGGCTTTATCGTTTGGGTTGGTGTACATAGGCATTTCTCAGCTGCTGTTCTTCTTTAGCTTTAATTTGTGACACAGCAGGCAGGAAAGTCCCACAAATTTTAACATCATGTGTTCCTTGTGTCCTATTTAATCTGCCTTCCTTCTTCTACCTTTGAGTCCTTTGGTGTTTGTTGTGTGCATGATCCCCAGGATTTTCAGCTGTACCTATGTGAAGAATAGAGAAGACGATGCATACTCTAGCTTACTGGTGGTTCAAATTCTTATTTTACATTTTTTAAACATCTTTTTTCTTTTTGAGACAAGATCTCTGTACATAGTCTTTGCTGTCCTGGAACTTACACTGTAGAGCAGACTGGCCTTGAACTCACAGAGATGCACCTGGCCCTGCCACAAGTGCTGGGATTAAAGGCGTGCGCCATCCCACAGAGGACGGTTTTAAATATTCTTCCTTGGAAGGATGTGGGGACACTTCTCTAGGGTAGAGACTGAGAAGTACTACTGCTTGATCTGAGGCATCTGCCTCTGCCCACCCTGATGGATCTCCCTCCGGAACTGCAAGCCCAAATCAACTCCTCCGTAAGCTGCCTTTGCCATGGTCTCCTCACAGCAATGGGAAAGTAACTAGGGCAGCATGAAAATTTATTTTTCATAGCCTTCTCGCCTGCTTATGTGGATTTTATATTTTAATGAGGGAGAGAGATAAAAAGAGAGACAAAAAACAAATTAACCACACAGTCTCAGAAAAACAATTGTATGAGGGAAGTGGTTTAGCATGGCTGATAGAGGGGAGGGGGATGGGAGAGCCTAGGGGCTTTTAAAAGAAGTTTTGTTCAAGGAGCTACCATCCAAAAGTGGCGGAGGACAAGAGAACCCTAAAAGCTGAGGTTCTGGGCTACGTGGGCATATCCAGGTGATGTTGACATATCCAGGTGATGTTGCTCAGGATACATCAGGGCCTTGGTGTCAGTTTTTCCCAGAGGCAGTAGAGCCCTGAGACTTATAAGTTATTTTTGTTAATATCCAGCAGAAGAAGGTATAGTTTTATGGAATATGCACAGCTTCCGGTCCAGAGTAAATAAAAACATTTCTTTAGTGAGCTATTCTAAAAACAAGTAGATGTGTAGCCATTTGAGTTTTCCACTGTGGGTTTTTGAATTAACTAGACTCAGTCTGCTGTGAGGAAACAACCTTGGGACCAATCCACAGGGCTATCTTTGGCACACTTTTACATCACAGAGCTGTGGGACAGAGAGGCTCGCTTTACAGGGTACAGTCGGGGAGCCTGTCTCCCGAGGAAAGAGACACCAGAACCAGCACCTGAGAAAGGAGGAGGCAGCTGCAGTAAGGCTTAAAGACTTTAAAAGTAAGAAAAAGTGTGGCAGAGAAACAGAAAGGTCCTGAAGTTGTGACACCGTACAGGCAAAGATGGAGCTGTGTTTAATGAGAAGAGTGGGAAGTCGGGGTTAGTGGCTGCTGGGTGGAGCAGGCCTCTGTTCTTAGTCCCATGTGGAACCAGTAGAGAGCTTTGGTTAATATTTTAAGTGTTCTGCTTTATATTTGGGGAAACTCACTGTCAGGCATAGGGAGGATGGAGCAAGATCCGTGTAGAGTTCTGGCTAAGACGAGATGGCAGCTTGAAGCTGGGAGAAGATGGGGATGTGGCTGGAAGTGGGCAGATGGCAAGAGCGTGATGCAGCCTGCAGCCTTGGCTCGGGCTGGGATGGGGAGATGTGGGCAAGGGAGGTAATCTAAGATAGTCCTGGAAGACGGCAGCATCTCAGTGCTCGAGGTGGAGAAGACCAGGAAAGGAGCGAGTTGAGAGGAAGCTGGGAGCTGCCTGTGTGAGTTTGTCTTCGCTGCCCGTGGACGCAGATGACCCGGGGATGTGCAGTTGGCTTCTGCGATGACTAATTCCTGTTTGCAGCTCCAACCAGGGCCTCCTGACTCACGACAGAGGACTTTGGGGACTCTGTGTCGCCAACCAGGAAAACGAGAAAACAGACTTCAAACTGTCATTAGCCAAGGAGCAAAAATAAATTCTTAATTAGCCTTTGCCGACTGCATATTAATTACAGCTCCATTTACGTGCCTGCTTCTTAGATGCAGGGAGTGGAGAGGAGGAGGAAGTGAAAGTCAGGATTGCCCTGTGTGGAGGAGGAAGGAGCCAGGATTGCCCTGTGTGGAGGAGGAAGGAGCCAGGATTGCCCTGTGTGGAGGAGGACAAAGGAGTCAGGGTTGCCCTGGGCCTTGTGCTAGGCAGCCGCCCCCCCCCCCCCATGCTGGAACCTTTCCAGCGGGTCCCACCCTCCCAGGTCCTACAATTCTTATTTTTATAGATGAAGCAGCTGTGTCTTGAGGAGACAAAGGACATGTCTAGGGTCTCACTCACAAGGTCAGAACCCTTCTTTTTGGACCCCACAATGATGAGCGTTGCCATGGCTTCCTGCCTTGTGCTCACCAGCCCACAGCTCTTAATTTTTTTAAAATCAATTTAAAACCCAATCATCTCTGACAGACCAGAAGGTCAGTGTCAGTCCCCGTGGGGCATCTCACCCCTGGTTTAAGGTATGGCGTTTCACATTCTTAGACCTTGCTGAATCTTTCCTGAGGGTCACCTTGTCTCTGGACATTGGTACCCATTGGTTACCATGGTGATGCTCCCTGTCTCACTCCAACAGCTCTGGGATGCTGCAGGACTGATGGTTCTGTGGCTTCTTTGCTGCTCTTGGTACCTGAGGAATTTTGTCAAGGTGGGACACTTCTGCCCATTGGGAAACTTCTCCACTTGTCTCCTGAGGACTTCTATAACACTCTCCCCTCTCGTCAATGAAGACTCAAGTAACTGTTGGTTTCGGCTCTGCCTTAGCCTCCCTGGAAACCAGAAAGCCCAAGTGGTTATTCCAGTCACTTCCTTTTGTTTCCCTTTGCCCGGCTACGTGCACTGGAGCAGTCCACCCTGGTATCAGGCAGGGCTTTTTACTTATTTAGTTTTTGACATTTTATTTTAAAAATTGCAAATGAGACACTATTAGTAAAAGCAGCAGTGACCTCCCTGACATTTATTACAGCTTTGCAGCTTCTGTGTCTCCCCCTCCCCACTCTCTCCCTCTGTATCACTTTGAAGCATCAGACGGTCGGACCCATTCGTATTTCAATCTGTATCTTTAGAAACCAGTGGCAGATATACTTGCAAAGGAAGCGCTTTCTACCTGAAATCTTTCCTTACTTTGTAGAAGACTGGTGTCCCACGGAGGGCTGTGGCAGGTCAAGTTCTTCCTGTTCCCGAGGGTGGTGTGTCTTGTTTGCTCTCCACTTCCCTTGTCTCCAACACTATGCGAAAAAGCATTTCCACTTTATAGAAGAGACAACTCACATCCTTCTAGGAAGGGAAAGAATTTTCCTAAAGTATTGAGACTAACTCAGGACCAGAGGGTCACTGAGGCAGCCAGAGTCCTTTCTGAGCAATATTTCTAAATGCCTGGTCATCTCATTTGTAGAAATGTGGCTGGTGCTGCAAAGATGAGGTGAAGAGGGGTTCTGGGAGAGCGTGGGATGTGGCTGGTGCTGCAGAGGTGAGGTGAAGGGGGTTCTGGGAGAGCGTGGGATGTGGCTGGTGCTGCAAAGATGAGGTGAAGAGGGGTTCTGGGGCAGCCTGGGATGTGGCTGGTGCTGCAGAGGTGAGGTGAAGAGGGGGCTCTGGGGCAGCCTGGGAGTGTGGCTGGTACTGCAGAGGTGAGGTGGAGAGGGGTTCTGGGGCAGCCTGGGATGTGGCTGGTGCTGCAGAGGTGAGCTGGAGAGGGGTTCTGGGGCAGCCTGGGAGTGTGGCTGGTACTGCAGAGGTGAGGTGAAGAGGGGGTTCTAGGAGAGCCTGGGAGTGTGGCTGGTACTGCAGAGGTGAGGAGAAGAGGGGGTTCTGGGAGAGCGTGGGATGTGGCTGGTGCTGCAGAGGTGAGGTGAAGAGGGGTTCTGGGAGAGCCTGGGAGTGTGACTGGTACTGCAGAGGTGAGGTGAAGAGGGGGCTCTGGGGCAGCCTGGGATGTGGCTGGTACTGCAGAGGTGAGGTGAAGAGGGGGCTCTGCGGCAGCCTGGGATGTGGCTGGTACTGCAGAGGTGAGGTGAAGAGGGGGTTCTGGGGCAGCCTGGGATGTGGCTGGTACTGCAGAGGTGAGGTGAAGAGGGGCTCTGGGGCAGCCTGGGATGTGGCTGGTGCTGCAGAGGTGAGGTGAAGAGGGGTTCTGGGAGAGCCTGGGAGTGTGGCTGGTGCTGCAGAGGTGAGGTGAAGAGGGGGTTCTGGGGCAGCCTGAGCTCCTCTCCTCTGGCAGCTCACTTCTACTTACTCTGCGCTCTCTTTGAAGTAAGCAGCCACTCTTGTTGCTGAACTTGTTATTGGGGATCTCCACCTGGCCCCGCCCAGATTTTTGTTTAAACCAATTATTCCCAATTCCACAGGGCTCTGTCCCTGAAATGAATGGTGTCAACCTATCCCAAGAAGAAGTGTCCGAAAACCCAGCTATTGCTTCAGGACAAGACTGTGCTTCAGATTGATTGGGTTCAGAGAGAAAAACCTGCTGTTCTCTGCTTCCTGCCCTTGCTTTCATGCCGCTGCTGGTTGCTTGCTCAGGCTAGCTTCTCCTGTACAGAGTCAAGATGGCTGCACACTGCTAGCCTGTATGCCCCTTGTTAGTCATCCAGCAGAGGAGAGGGTTCTTCTCCTGATTCCTGATTTTCATTGCTTTGTTTCAGATCACATAACTGCCTGAGCCAGTCGTCACAGGCAGGGGTTGAGATCTGTCAGCTGGGTTAGATCTAGATTATCAGCCTTGTTAAGGCCGCATGGGTGAGACCGGCAGTTTCCCCCAGGAGAATGAGAGGCTGTGACTGAGGAGCAATGGGTGGATGCTGAGCAGGAAAGTGGCAAATCCTACCTCTGGTTATGCTTCTGGAACTGTCCCTTGGAAAGGGTGTCCTGGGTAGTTGCTTTCTCCTTATTGAAGCGTTGGTCATGGCTGAACCGTGGAATCCAGCGTCACTGCTCATGGCCAGTCTTTCTCATGGCCTGTCCTCTTCCTCTTTCCACATGCGTGGCCAACAGCAAGTTTCCTGGTGCTTCCCTGGACCTGGCTGTCTGAGAACTGGGGAGCTATTCCTAGTGGACCCAACTTCCTCTGACCTTGAAAGAGCTCCTCTTGTCTCCAGCCTTTGCTTTATCCCATAGAACATCTGTAAAGGAGGGGCTGGTGGCAGCCACCCCAGGGCTGTGAGAGCGACAAGAGCTTGTGAATTGTGGCCGCAGCAAATGGGAAGGATAATACAATAGCCACTCACTTCTGCCCCTCGGGAAGTGCTCTCACAGCCCCCCTTCTCCATTTTCCTCCGGGAGCAGTGGCTCTTGATGGAGATGGGTTTAGATGGCTTGGAAGCTTCTGTAGCCGCCCACTCTTCCTCCTCCCTCCCTGCTGAGCTGACAGTTTCACATGACATCAATTCCTCTGACAGCAGTGTAAACAGATGGTGGTCCCTGCTGCCCCGGTGCTGGGTAGCGATACCATGGTAACCTGCTAAACTGTGACAGGTGCCAGGACGGTTGGAAACCAGGACCTGCAGACGCATGGGCACACATGGCTCAAGAGCAGTACGACATCAAGGACGCCGGACTTGAGGACTGCCCCTGCCTCTTCCTAGCTGTGCATACATGACTGAATTGCTTCCTTACTCTCGATTCAAGGGACCTATGGATTCCGGTCCAGAGCAGCAAGGGTTCTGGACTGGAAAGTGCCTGATGTGGGGATAGGCACATGGTGTCTCACAAAACTACAGGTGGGTGAGTGACCACATGATCAAAGGGAACTGGAGCATCAACTGCCTGGAAGGTGGTCAGGAGGCAGGTTAGGCAGTGAAAAAGTTTTGGGGCCAGGGGAAGGAAATAAAAACCCCATCCTGGAATCTGACTGAAGCCTCTTGCCAATCAGAGTTCCAATATGATTACATTTGCTTCGGGCTTTTCTCCCATCCGAGCTGTAAGCCTCAAGTTTCCCAGGATTCTCCCCAGAAATTCCTTTGCAGCAGCAGGACAAGTTCTGACCCTGTACAGTCTTAGTGGCTCCTGGTTTTATGCTATCTGATTGTAATCCTATCTAAGGAACCTCCGGAGCTTCCCTATACTCTCAGTAATTGACGAGGGGAACATAGACAGAGTCGGGGGGAGAGTCCCCTAGAAACCCATTCAACAATGAGGTTTTGAGAGCTTCCAAAATCCTATGTACAATCACCACTCAGACACTTCAAGGGGACTCTCCCTTGGGAAGCTCATATCCACAGGTGGGTTTGTCTCTTGCTCCCTGAGTATCTCCAGTGCTTAAGATCTATGTCGAATTAAAATCAAGCAATTAACTCCAGCTCTGATTCATACTGGCTCGCCTTGAAACTCTTCCCCATGGAGAAGCATCTGACTTGACCTGGGTGGAGGCACTTAAAAGCTAAAGGGGGGGGGTGTCTCAGGCTAGGGCAGGCAGTGGGGGGTGCTCTCTCTTTCTGCCACCACTCATGTTTGGAAAGCGGGCTCTGTAAAGCATCTGTCTTGAAAAAGGCAAAAGACATAAATGAGATCTGAGAGGCTGGGCACATGTAGAATACTACATGAGGGGTAAGTGAGCATTGGATCAGGAGGGCCTAGGACATCCACCGCCTGGAAGGTAGAGCTGAGGCAGGATAGAGAGACAGGACAAAAGTTAAGGGGACACAAGAAGAGAAGGAGGCCCTCATTTCCTGCCTCCTCAGGTTTTTCTCTGAGGAGTTGGGACCTCATTCTTGGCAAAGGTTGGGAGTGCCCCGCTGCAAGCCTCACTGGCACAGAGAGGGTAAAGGACCGTGTTCCCACCTAGGTGGCGCTGGGTTTATGGTGCTGTGAGCATTTGCTGACTCTGTTTGCCTCAGTTTCCTAATCGTCCTCTTGTCCTGCTAAGGCGTGAGCTTCACTTTAAGCCATGGCTTATCCCAAGCTCAGGGAGGAGCAGGGCCTTCTCTCAAGCCACAGGTCACCCACACCACTGGGTTGTGGGCTGACCTCTTCCTTTCTGTAGTCATGCTTCTGGCCTGAAGGTCTTTGTCAGCCTCTCACCATCTCTATCAGTCCCCCCTTTTTACTGTCCTGAGCCCCCCTATTCCACTCGGCTTCTCCTTGTCTCTGGGGTTGTCTAGGGTGCCTTGCAGTCAGTGCCCTTGCAGAAATTCGAGTGATCGCATAGCTGGCTTTCTGTACCAGACTAGCTCCGCCAGACTGGCTGTGGCCTCAGGCAAGGTACATTGGTTTTGAGGGTCAGTTCCCTCATCAGTGAGAAAGATGGCTTGGATGGATCAGGGGGGATAACACTGTGACATGCTGGAAGGAACCTGGGGCAAACTCAATACACGGAAGTGACTACTGACCGCCAGTTGGAGCAAGACCACACCGGCTTGCTTCCCACAAGCGGGACTGACTGCAAGGAGCATGCAGAAGGACAAGTTCACTGGCACCGAGACATGTGGACATGGTGGCAAGCTTTGTAACCCCGGAGAAGCCACTTACTTTCTTTGAGCACCTGTAAAATCAGACTAATAATAATTTCAGAGTCGTGGGGGAAAGGCAGGGGTTGGTCAAAGCAGGTGCTTAGAGTATAATGCATTGCCCGCTGGCTCAGACAAATTCTCCAAGAACTAAGGTCATTTCAATCCCACCAGTCTACTGTCAACCAAGGCAGAGTCCCCGCACCTTATTCCAGGAGGTGACAGTTTGGCCTCTGTTTACATACCTCTAGGAAAAGAAAGCTCACTCCTGCCTAGCTGGGCATCTGTATAAGACACTGGACTTCTATGGATTTCAAACTTGTCTCCCTGTGGCTTCTCTGGGGTCTCTGTTCTGTCTTGGGGTCCCCATAGTCACATTCTCTTGTGTGTTCTAGGGGTGTGGCAGCTTTGTTCTTTCTCTAACCCGCTGAGAACTGGCATGGGTGGGAGATACATGCCCCTGCCTCATAGCCCTCACTCCTTGTCTAGGCTGCGAGGCCTGACAGATGACAAGCATACAGGTGTTTAAGCCTGGGTAGGCTGGATTGGTTAAGTCTCAGGGCTGGAGTAGGAAGGCTAGGTCATGCCTGGGTCAGAAGATAAGCCAGGCTTGAGGCTCGTTCCCTAGCTGTGGCTGGGTTTGGGGAGTTAGCAGTTCCTGCTTCATGGGGTTCTCTAAGAATTAAATGGTCAGAGACACTTTCATGTCCAACATGTCTTTCGAAATCTGTTAATCTTTTCATCCCCCTTCCCTGCTGCCAAATCTGTCATCAGTGAAGGAGCTAAACCACGGCAAAGAGAGGCTTCAGACGGTCATCGGTGAACGAGCTAATCTACTGCAGAGATAGGCTTCAGACGAGCCAAGCTTTGAAATATTTATTACTCTTTCAGCTTCAAGGTTATTAAAAATTATTCTATGCTTCTTTTAAAATTCATCAGCTGCAGGCAAGCTGGCTGCCTTCATGCCAGTACCAGAAACTGACGAACCTCTATGGGTAGCACCCACTCCAGTGGGAAGTACGTGGACGCCTGGAGACTTCCAATCAGTCTTCCATTTAGGTTCATATCTTTCCAGGGCTATGTCAGTCACCCTGATGCCACAAGGCTCTCACCTCTGCTACAAGAGGTAGGGAAATTGGATGGAAGACAGCAGAGAACCCGGAGAAAGAAAGAGATGGCTCATAAACACGAGCTTAGACTGTTTGGTGCTGCCATGAGGGAAGGCTTGACAGTGGGTAGCTTATAAAGAACGAGGGAGCCAGGCTGTGGAGCACTCCCTTAATCTCAGCACTCGGGAGGCAGAGGTAGGCAAATCTCTGTGAGCTTGAGGTCAGCCTGGTCTACAGAGTAAGTTCCAGGACAGGTTCCAAAGTTACACAGAGAAACTCTGTCTCAAAAAACAAACAAAACAAAACAACAAACAAAAAAATGGAGGTTTATTTCTTATAGTCCTGGAGGTCAGGACTTTCAAAGTTCGGGGATCCTTGTTTGCTGAGGGACTTGGTGCTGTATCATCATGTGGAAAGTGGCAGGGGGCAGTGACACATGGAGGGGGAGGGACTGGCTACCGCACAAATCTGTGTCAGGATTCTTTTAGCTGCAAATGTTGGCCAAGTGCCCCTACTCTGGAAATCCCGAAAACAAAATGTTTCAAAATTCAGAACTCTAGCGACTCCAACAAGAGGAAAATTCCACAGCATGAAATTTGACAGACAAGTTGTTAAAAACCCTTTATGACATTGCAGGTTGGGTGAAAGGTACATATGAAATAGAAATGGGTTTCATGGTTAGACATGGGGCCTACCCTAAGGGTTCTCATTTTGTAAATGAACATATTCACAATTCTGAAAAAAAAAACCCAAACAAACCCAAAATCCAAATGCTTGTGGTCTGAAGCATCCTGGGTAAGGGATGCTGAACCCAAACATGAACAAGGTCTGTAGCTTTAGCCCTCAGACTTGATGTCTCGAGGAAGCTGAGTCAGGCTGACTGAGTGAGCTACTACACAGTCTCACCCAGCCCAGACTCCCCAAACTCTCAACCACTGCCCTCCCAAACAGGGCATCATCCTCAGACTGGAGGTAAATTGTTAGACTGGTCTTAGGACCCACACAAAGACCCAGTAATACCCTGGCAGAGAAGAGAGTGTTATTTCCAGTGACCCTCTCTCAGGTGCTAAACGATGTTCTCCAAGTCTCTCATGCCTGTGGGTGGTATGAGATCACATCCCCGCTCCTGGACAAGATACTGGCAAAATCAAAGGCAGTTAAATAGCTTCTATCTCAGTTTCCTGAGAAGTTCCTGGCTACATGCGTAGAGGTAGACACAAGCAAAAGCAGGGCTGTGGCTATGAGGGAGAGAAGGAGACAGGGTGGTGGCAGACCTGACCTCACCATACGTCATAGCGGTGAGGACAAAGGTTAGCTCCATTCTACAACAAAGAGATTGAGACCTCGAGAGGACAAATAACTTGTCTGGGGTTACGCAGTCAGTAACTGGCAGAGGAAGAGCTAGAATCACATTGTCTCTTGATAAATGTGTTTAGTATTGTGTCCTGAAGTCACAGAGGGGAGAGCTTAGATGTCACCTTTCAGCGTTTGCCAA